GAGATCGTCAATTAAATTGATATCGATATTTAATTCAAACAAAACATCATCAAATCGAAATTCCGCAACAATAACTCCCAGATCACCCACCAACAATCGACAGCGACGTAAGTGTAAAGAGAATGTGGCAAATTACAGAGTGGTGATGAACGAAAATGGTGAATATCGATTGGTGATGAGAGAGAAAGAAAACGTCGAAGACCTTCAAGGTGGTCCGAAGTTAGATGGGAATGTAAATAAGATGAATAAGGATAAAGAAGAAAGTGGTGAGAGGCGAAAAAGTAAAAAATTTTTGAGACACAAATCAGGTGGCAACTACACAAAACCTTCATTTTTCGGGTAATTATTAGATCAAGTGATGGTTATCTCGAAACGTTTGTGTGCGATCATTTATTATATCTTTTGTCTAATGCCTCAATCACATTCCGTTGCACGTATGTTCAAATAAACAGTTTGTTGAAACCTTACCATCATGATTCGATACCTACCACCTCTTCAACTTCCCACACCGAATCTTACCAAGATCTCCCCTATTGTTATTCTTACGATGATGAACCGTCTCACCAAGAACCGGGTCCGTTTTCACAAAGTCACGGCGCCAGCAATAAAAAAAGAAATAATAAACACGAATTGAGAAGGCATTCAGCGGGTTGTGGAACCATTGATTTTGAAGAGTTTATTGGATCATTGAACATCAAGAGCGAAGACCTAGAAGATAGATTGCAATGTATGTAATTTTTGTGATCACATTCTTACACCAACCATTTCAAAAAAAAAAAATTTTTTTTCTGACAATGTGCCGTATAATAATGATCAATAGGGTTATTCCGATTTTACGATCAGGACAGCGACGGACTGATCACGCGTGATGAGATGTTACAAATTATGTATGCCATATATAATTGATGCTGTTTGTCGAATCATATAAAGGAAAATAGATCAACCGCTATTCGGCAACATCATGCATTTGTAAAAAGGAACCCATCAACGGATATAACGGATTATTTGTTAATTAAAAATCCTATCCCTCTTTTTTTTCTTTTTTTTTTTTAATTCACTTTCAATTATGTAAATTTGTAAAATAACATTTTGTATAAAATGCGAGTGATCCCGAAAAGCATAGACGACGCGATCACTTTCTCTAACAGTGAAAATTTGCACAAAACCATCATCTTCATAAATAATCAACGGTTCTACTTCATATGATGCCAAAGACTAGTTTCATTCACGCCCGCCCAACTCTTTTCGACCAATTGAAATTTCTAATATTTTTTTATTAATAAACATTAACAAACTAATTAATAATGATAATAATTCACATCACAAAAAATCGATCCCTATGATCCTTATCGATCACACGATCAATCATTAAAGCGTAAAGCCGATTAATGCAGTTCTGTAATGTCAAAATATAATACTGTATATACTGTGTATTAATCATATAAATTTTATTAAATGTGATATTATACTTTTTGAGACAAATATTACTGTTCTTTAACAAAAAATTTTCAAGTAATGATATTTTCGCAAATTTTATTTGCAATCATTAAATCCATTGTTCACTTTTTAAATCTGTACTTTATTTTATATATTAGTATTATCGTTTATCATATAGTTAGGTTGTTTTTTTCTAACTAATTTATTATTAATTCCAACACGTGCGGAACTTTTGGTATTATTAAAGTGCTCAATATTCAAAATAATTATTAACCAACACTTTGTGCATCTTGAATAACACAAAATATTTACAATAAATTAACTATACACATCGACTTCTCGCTTACATCCGAATCAGAAATATATGATCTTATTTCTCGATGATCTCTTCTTCCTCCTCATCTATATCTTCACCGTCATCGAGTACGTCGTCTTCTGTTTCAAATGTATTCAATGGAACCGAATACAAACGAACTACAGGCTATGATGTAGATGTAACAAGTAAGAGTTTATTAATTATCATGAAAAATAATAGAAAGGATCACTATTTCTTTTAAGGTTACCTTGTTTGGATCTTTGATCAATACATATTTTCCCTCAGGCAATTTCATGCAAATATCGATGATAGTTCGAACAATACCCCATCCGTTAGAAATAGACAAATTCATCTGAGCCGCAAAGTCACGGGGCTTGGACATTTGGGTACCCAATATTGCATGACGGGTACGATCCTTTGGATTGACACGAGATACATATCTAAAAAGATTGTTATTTAGAATAGATAAAAATAATGCAATATCAATCAATCAAGACACACATACCCTAACTTCATTTGATCGGCACCAGCCAAAATGCTTTGCACTGCCCATCGAGCCAATTTAAAGCTATTATTTTTCATTTCGGTAGCAACAACAGCACCACGTTGAGTGTCTAATTTTTGTCTCCAATCCAACGATCCTCCTGCGCCCTGAGCTCGGGAATCAAATTCATTCAAAGCTTTGATGGTAATGAATGAATCACCTGAAGGCTGCTTAACAACAGAATCAAGTTGCGTACGGACGATAAGGCTAATATCTTCTTCCTCTTTTATACTAAGGTCGAACCGGCGGTAACGATACGCACATGGTGCCATAATTTCAATATCTTCGGAAGAATTAATAAAAGGGTTTTGTTTCTTGAAGTCATATCTTTCCGCCTGTCACCAATCAGAATATATGTTATTGATTTCACGATAGAAAACAATTGATAAAAGAATTTCATCTACCTCGTTCAACACTTGAACAGAAAAGTAATGATTAATATCTATCGCCTCCAGTGAAAGTGAATTAGGTGAATTAATATTATCTTTATCTCCTGTTTCAATTGGAGGATCGGCTGCATTTTCATTTACAGTAATATAATCTATAGGTATTCGTTATATTATTTAGTATATTCTTTATGAAGAAATAGTAAGATGTATAAAAAAAAATTTTAACTTCCTCATACCATACACTCCTTTTCTCCTATCAAAGAAGAGTTTATTACCCGTGCGGATAATAATAATGTCCCATGGATACACGGACCTTGGCGCGCACATTAACATACTCAAAACGGCATCTGTGGAAAAAACCGTGGCTTCATCATCTCTTGCAAGCTTGTATCAAGTGAAAAAGAGTAAGCTGTGAACCAAAAATAAATATTCTTTGTGCAATAAGTGAGCTTACTTGTTCAATAATTGGATCTTCGGATGCGGAAACAAATAATCGAAAACGTTCACTTGGAACTAGTGGTTTTTCTGTTTTTGTGGTGACCTTGTCGTAGGACTTATCATAATGGTAAAGGAAACCATGTGAAGAACTAAAATAAAGGTGAATATTTAAATTCACGTGGAATTTATTATAGGAGAAAAAACTTCAAAATACATTTACATACATGTCATCTCCTTCGTCCACATCCAAGTTGAGTTTGGATAAACGATTAAATTCTATTTCTTCTAGTACTTTCCACTCGGGTCCAACTGTTACTGAGGCGTCACGCGTTCGCTGGTTCTGGATAATAGAAATAAATGTAACTTTTGATTTAAGTCAGGGATAATCCAACTCAATATATATAGACCTTGTCATAATCTTTCCATCCAAATCTTCTCCTAACATTAGAATTATTAGCCTTACTTCCCGTCAAACCACGATTCATAGCTCCTAGTCTCTGGTATTGTCCATTCCTCTGTTGGCGTTGCTGTTGTTGGTTACGATTTGCTCCGCGAGCCTAGAGCACATTTATAGGAATTTTGAATTAGGATCATCTTGATTATATGATTTTTCCGAATTCCGCACACCTTTGTAGAACCCGTGGTCCTATATGAGGCTGCCTTTTTCTGTGCAGCAGAACGGTTATCAACAACGGAAAATGAAGCTTCGTCTTCTGCATGCGTATAGGTAAAGGTACTTGACGCCCCATGGCCGTATGCCGTGTATTGTTCTAAAGTGCAAGGAAAAAAAAAGTGGTAGTCATTTTGTCGTAACTTTCTAATATTGTCGTGAATCCAAGTCACCCTATGATATTGATTTCATGAATCTATTCTGACTACGAAAGCACGCATACCTCGGAAACGATAACCTTGTCTCTGCCTTCCTGTCGACTCCTTCTCTTTTTGCTCTGGTGTGGACCAATCAGCAATTTTCCCCAACTTATCCGATTTACTATAAGGCGCATATGGAATATCCCTGAATTTCTCCGTTAACATGGCGGGAGAGGGACCCCAGCCATTCTCATTATCAATTATTTCCGGAAGCGTAAATGTGGGTTCACCCATATTATATAAGAACACGATTCACAAATTTCAGAACGAGGATGTTAAAAAAATTATCAAATCGGTTACACGGATCGTAGATCAAATCTGCCAATAATATTATTATAATTCTAAGCTATTATACAACATATCTTTAAGTATCTAGCAATATCAAAAGAGGTTAACCAAATTTCTAAGTTCCATAATATTCAAAGACCAATAACTTACATATGACAAATACAACTATAATTACTTGATACTATATGACAAAATATATTGTTAAAAAAATTTTTTTATATAGTTTTTATAAGCAAATTAATATTTAACTTATTATATTTGCATATAAGAGTTATTGGTTTTTTTTTTTTTTTTTTTTTTTTTTTTTTTTCCTCAATCAGGTTGGTGTCATTTATTTATTAAATCAAAATGAACCATTACAAATATAAA